AGAAATTTAAGCCTATAGTCTACATCGCACGCGTTTCTCGATAACGTACAGTACAACAATGGATAAATTTTTATCATGATAAGAATCTAAGGTAAAAAATCCCTGCATAATTTCAGAAATTTTCGACAAAAGGAACAGGAGTTATTAAGCTTCAAATTATTTAACAAAGCTGTCCCCCATATACACACTAACATCCATGCATACACAAAAAACCCGAATTTTTTGCATTTATAGACATTTCAAGGTCCCCTCAATGCAAAAATGTAAATATCTTGGAGGGTATTTTTTGACCAATTGCCAGACTTTCCCTCTGTTATAAGTGGTTACGGTGTCAATCTATCTCTGTATGGAGGCTCCCCTGCACTTTCTCACAACGATGACGTGCAGATGGTCGAAAAAAGTTTTTGGAAGTGTGAATGATATCGCTTCTCCTCTAAGACAATGCAGTGTGCTGTATAGTACAGTTACGTTTGGGTGATGGTGTCTACAACTATATGTTACTAAGTCTTGGTTTAGTATTTATTATTGCACATACGAGTATGTTCAGCTTTAGCCTTTTATTTTTATTTTGTTTAGTATAATAAGCTATATGTACAGTATATGGAATGCTCAGAGGCTTAATGGTACTTCTCTAGCCCTTCTCGGTATATTACATGCTGTTGTCCCACAGACTACCGAATGGGTAGCCTCCCTATGCACTGGTGAGTCATTCTTGAAACCAAATATACACTCTTGTAACTCTCTTAGTGCTCTTTGAGCGGGAAGAGCGTGTCTCATTAACTGCCAACTTTTACAAAAAAAAAAAACAAGAAAAAATATCAATTGTTGGAATGATAGTAAAAAAATAAAAAGTTATATGTTGAAATATCGTTATTCCACGCATGACTCAATGAAATAATTGGATTATGTGGTACATTAGAGCGTTAGCGGTCATTTTACCGTTGTGATAATGATTAATAAAAAAGTTATTGAATGAATGAATATTGTTAAAAATCTAAAAAAAATTTAGTTAAAAAATTCATTTTGTAATAGAAAAGTATAGAAATCTAAGCGTCATTTGGTATCAAAACATTAGCAAAGCACCAAACAAAACATTAGCAAAACACCAAACAGAACATTGACCTAAATAATCTGTTCGCATGATTTCTTCTGCATTGCGTAATTATAATACGATACTAATCTACTTATAATCCATTGTTGCCTTGTAGAATAAATTAATGTAATTTGTATACAATATAAAGTAATCAGTTTAAGAAATTTCCTTTAATTCATTTGAACTATTTATAATTTATTCGTGTGCTTTAAACTTCTGATGAAGTCTAAACAGGAAAAGCCTCTTTGTTTAGTTTTTAACACAGATTGCTTTTATACGATATGATATTTGCATTTACAATATTAATTATTTTATTAATACATATCATGTGTTCATTACTTTGAAATTTATTAAAAATGAATTAGTCAAATAAAACTGTTATTAAACATGAAATGCATTTCTGTATGCTTCTTAGAATATGATTTAATATCCATGTATTTAATCATAGTTATTATGAGTTTCATCAAGCTACAATGGCATGGCCAGGAAGACCACACAACCTAAAAACATAAGGCTTTTCGATCGCCGGAATAGATTATATGGTCTTCAGAGCTGTAGACTAAAATGTTAACTACCTCGTTTGTCCGGTCGTCGTCAAGTATGGTTGATATCATCAGCTAAATAATCAAAAACTATTCAAAGCAAGTATAAGACAGAAACTTTGATAGCACATATTGTGTAAAAATTGATTAAATATAGTTAAAATTATTAATGACTGTATAAAGGATATAATAGATTAAATAAGGCAATACAATACTTGCCCGATATATCAAGGGACAGTGCTTCCCGGAAGGACTTTTTATGGAAAAGTGTCTCCTATTTAGAGGGTAGATAAGTGATTAAAATCCGGAAAACGCCACGTAATCAGCCCGTTGATGAGGAGCGAACATGCAACAACTAAAACCAAACAAAATCGGAATTAGTACGGATATAAACTAAATAAGTAGGCGTATAGCGAACCCGCTGTACTCCTATTTATTTAGTATATATTCGTACCAATCCCGATTTGTGTAGCCTAGATCATTCGATCAGTGTGCTTAAAAATAGGGAGCACATTCTTTAAATAATAATAATCAGTTTTCTCAGAGATATTAAGGATTATAAGCAGAAGTTTTATATTTATATAAAAATAGATAAAGTTGTAGTTGATAAATTTACTTAAATAATTAATTACTGTTTCTGTATTTTTGAAAACTTTAATGTACAGCTTAATACAGCTTAAGCTGTAATAAGCATCTTAGTAAGTGGGACATGAAGATATAAAAAAGACATATAAGTATAAAAAATATAATTTATTTTCTTACTATTTTTAAAATTATTTATGTAAATCTATACTAATATTATAAAGAGGTAAAGTTTGTAAGTTTGGATGTAGAAGGTAATCTCCAAAACTACTCATCTGATTTCAAAAATTCTTTCACCAATATTTAAAATGGACTTTCAGGGTGGACATAGGCTGTATATTATTCCGTTAAACATTCATATAAATTAAAAGATATTATCTAGGTAAGCGTTATATTTTTGGTATCAGCGGGTGGCGAGAGGCAAGAGGCGTACGTATACGAGATAGGTAACCGCACGGCACAGTAATGTGGTCAGCGAGATACGCGGTGCATGTGTCCGAACTTGTATATTACAATCGAAATTCCCCCCCCCACGAGGGAGAGGGACAAAATTAAGGCTTACCGTGAAGAACTCGGCTTCTATTATACTATTTTAGATGCGGTTTTTTGCGTTTTAGTAGGGTACGTCAAAAGAATGTACACTAAGAAGGGATTTTTCAAAATTCCCTCCAGCAGGGAGTGTTATACATTTATAATAGATACATTTTGAGCCACAGCAACGCGTGGCCGGGTACAGCTAGTAGTTAACATTTAAAGTTAATAATAGTTTATATTTAATTTTTCATCACGTCACGTCGAGTTAGGGGTAGAATTGCCTATCGTCCTCCATTTTTAAACATGCTGAAAATTTTAGATAAGACTCTAAAAATTCTAGTTTTTAATTAATTTTAGCACAAAATTAAGTTATTTTAAGTTGAAATATAGGCCCTATGACTTGCAAATCGTCCAACCTTTGTTAGACTAGAATAAAAATAATGAAAACTGTCGTTCGAAATTGTTGTAGACTTGTAATATTTACCCAGCTGCTAAAATATAAAGGGCAAAAACTTTAGAAAAAGTTCAAGTTTGTGTTGAAAGCGGTTTGTCAAAAGGTGACTTCTTTAGTTTAATAACACTTAACAGTTTACCTTTCGAGGAAATAAAATTTACCCACGCCTATATACAGTATAAATTTACCTTCTTTTTGTTACCTGTTTTTCAATTATATTTTGTAAAGATCTATATCTATTTGTTAATAAAATTAATAATAATAATTAAAAATAGTTATATTTATGAATATTGTTAAACCGGAAAAAATCATTAATATTGTAAATAAAAGAAGTTTAACTACTCTGATCTTATTATAGCCAGGAGTCTCGCACCGCTTAGTGCCAAAATCGCCACTTGGAGATATTTTTATAAAAGTGGTGATAAAAATATAATATTGGCTATATATTTATATATATATATACCGTCTGGGAGTTAGTACAGCGCAAAAATGGAACAAACGAACACAAAAATCAACAGCAAAAGGTTAGAGTCCAGGCGATATATCCATTCCAGTGATTCTCTATTACACTGACTTGATGGAAAGTCTCTGCGAAAGAATCGCCGTGAGCAGTCTTGTTTAATGATTTGAATCCCCTGCAGTCGCTACATGCATCTCTGGACATATTCCATTTATTGAGTATTTACCGAATGAGTTCCGGATTCTATTAATGGTGGACCAGGTATAGAGTGGCAGGTCGAAACCAGGTCTGGCTGTAGGATCCTTTACCAAATCTTTATTGGGAAGGGATAAGTTGTTCCAAAGCAGCAGTTCTTAACCTTTTTTAGTGGTCAGCACCCCTTGAATCTGAAAATAAGCTCTTGCATCCCCCTTATAAAAATGTGTGTATATTTTTTATTTAAGAAAAAACATTTATTGCATAAACAAATGCCGTATTTATTTACAATATATATATTACTATATAACATAAAAAGTAATATTTAAATTTAATGGCTAGTTTGTTGTTGTTTATTCATAATAATTCTATTAAATCGAGGCTCTTTTTTTTAAAGAGCCACGCGTAAGTCATTTTTTGATGTGCAAAAGTGCTGTATTCAAGGTGTGCAAACACGTCTCAACTAGTTTCGCACTACACGTGACAATATGACTACATTAGCGAGGTTGAGGCCGAAGTTTTAAACACGAAAACGTGTACGTCGGACGTTCAGCGCCCCTTTCCTGTAAGAAAGGGACGCTGAACGTCCGACGTACACGTTTCGTGTTTAAAACTTCGGCCTCAGCCTCGCTATTAACTGCATGTACTGACGACTGATGACAAGAGCTATGTGCTGAGAGACGTAGAGTAGAGAGTGTAGAAGTGAGACGGTATAGAATGAAGTGATACGACCTTTGTCCAAAATGAGTTAGTCAATTCTTGCGCCATTGGCTTCCGTTCTCGTGTAACTTGGAAGCTGGCTGCACCTCTTATCACTCACATTCACTCGTTTATTTGTAAATTTCCGACACCATTCTGCAACAATTTAACAGAACTTAACATTCTTCCTATGCACTTGACAGTCTGAGATAGATTTTAGTGAGCGGAATGGTTTGGTTGCAAAAATCAAAATTTTCTCGTACTTTTGCGTCATTCTAATCCTTCAATGTTATTAATACCAACCTTCGTCCTAAGTTTGTATTAGCTTACTCTTTTCTTTGGATACTCTTTTGATAGTTGACATCAATCAATTAACATGTGGCCATTCGTGATTGCGGATGGCCACATATATGTCTGTGGAAATCTAACTTATGCAATTACCATTACCAAAACTATCGGTGTCGACAATGATACTTCTATCTGTCTTTCCACAAGGCCTAGCCATGCATTAAAATGTAATCATTCCGTACCGCAATGCATTCATATTTCATTCAGTCTTCCCATAATTGTTAATGCATTTCAGGCAGTAGATCGTCCATATTTCACCCAGAAAGATTTCTGGGGATTTATCGATCCGTCCGAATTCGAACCTGGGACCCCAGAGTGGCAGGTTGCCACCTTCATCGCTCGGCCCTTCGGCCAATTAGAACTGGTTATTAATATAAAGGGTTAAATTTTCTTAAAAACTGTTCTCTCGGCCAACGTCCCATGATTTTTTTAATTTGGGGTACACACAATACTAATAGCACTATATTTTTATATGAAAAAGACTTAAAATATCAAAAAACTCTAATAATCTTTGACTGACATGCCCGCTTGTATGCTATACAGTTGAGCTCCAACACACTACAGATAATGGGACATTAATTAAATTTCTTATGACTGCTGTTTATATATAAATATTATAAAGTCTCTGTAAATCCGCACGAAAAATATATAAATTTTCGGTTTAGCGGTAGACCATCACACAGCAGATAGCTAATTACTTCTCTTTATTTAATCACTGTATATGCATTTCGGTCCTATTAAAGAACCCTCTTCAGTACTACAAAATATAAATATTATAATAAACCTTATGCGAGTAAAACTACCAATGTAACAATTAATATTTTAGTTTTTCATTACCATTTAGGTACACAGCTTGGATTCACATTTCATTAGCACTTTCATATCAAGTGTATTTAGTAACGTTTTCTGATTGTCTATGGTCGTATTTCTAAACTACTATAATAAATATTATTCTAGATTAAAACATTATCTATAATTATACACAACAATTCCAAATTTTTAAAAAATCATTCCAAAAAATTTTTAAAAAATAAATTTTAAAAACATTTTACATAAGATTCTTAAAATTGTGATTAAATATAACTTATAAAATTTAATTTTTAAGTAACATACCGTTTACAATAAATCATACTCTAGGCTTCTGTTCAACGGTCCGTCGTTGGTACAATTCTAAATGACACACCCCCTTTGACTATTCTACGTCATGACATCATCTGTCAATTTCCTCTACTACAGAATACCATCTTTGATCTATTTGCATTCCGTTAGATACATTTATTAATTGATTGTTATTTTTATTATTATATTTCATTATTTCAACATGCTCTTTAAATTTTCTCTTATAAATATTCTTTTCATTATGTAATATTTGTACATTATTTTTATCTAATTTACAATTATTATTCTGAATTACGTGATTATACCATGGTGAATTATTATTTTTTAACCGTATAGCGGCCTCATGTTCTTTAATACGTTTTTCTAATTTACGACCTGTTTCACCTATATAAACTTCTGGTATATTACATTTACAATTTATCATATATACAGTACCTATTTTTTCTTTTTTATCTATTTTATTTGAATTTGTATGTATTTTAATATTATGAAAAAGTTTATTTGTCAAGGATGCTAAACCGCTAAACCGAAAATTTATATATTTTTCGTGCGGATTTACAGAGACTTTATAATATTTATAATGGGACATTAATTAATTGCGACACGTGACACTAGTCTGACATTAGTGTTCCGTTACTACTGTTGTAGTATGTATAGTACCATCGAGCATCTGACTGACCATTGAAAATATCGACGAATTAAATCATATTTAACGAATTGTATTTTAAGGTTACTTTTTATGACGTTTTAGCTTTAGGTTAAGTTTACCGTTTTTATGGTTTTCATTATCTTGTCAAATATTAATATCATGATTTCGGTTCGTTCCGTTAACAATAAATCAGTCTCCACTGCTTATAAAGGTATAAATAACTCTAGCACTTGTATAGGATATCGTCAGAGGACTCAATCCGAGACTACAGCAATTACATCTCACACGAGTCACATCTCAAATCTGTATTGGCACATTCATACATCACTAGACTAAACGAATTTTATTGTGGAACCTTAGGGTTTTGCCAATAAAATTTGCGGGAACACAAGTTGGGAACTCCTGGATTAGAGAATAGTTTCATCACAAATACATTATTGCAAACCAGAAAATGGAAATTAATGCAAATTGATCAATGTCAGATGGTTTTACAACGTATTAATATGCAACATTTGTTCTATAATTTAAAATGTTAAATTTATGTGCAGTAATAGATATTTTACCTTTTTTATAACATTAAATGTACAGAATTGTGTGAAAACTTTAAGGCGCATCGATTTTTTGCATCGGCGTTTATAATTGATCAAAACATCAAACTAAAATGAAAATATTTAGTATCAGTAACCCTTCGTTATATCACTTATTCAGATGTATCTCTACTCTGTTTTTATCGTCTCCAAAATATAAAAGCGCTTTAGCCAATAATGGGAGGTACACACATCGGTTATATCGTGCTATCTGATATATCGCTCATTTGCTTTGTCTCAATAAAAACGCGATATAGCGAGATGCTACTGTAAATTATTTTAAATAGAACATAGTTATTTCTTGATATATCAAACAAATGTCTAGAATTATAATTTATAAGACTTTTTAATGCTTTCCTAATAATTTTATATTATAAATTACGATGTATGTCCTATTATAAAACTTGATAATTTATTTATATTCATGTTTTTTTAGTAGTGTATAAAATCAACTATTCCAGTTTCAGATCCAGTTTCTAAAAATAAAACGTACGAAGTAATTCGATGTAAAATTTGCGAAGATGTCTTATGTAGCCAAGTGGATAAAACCCTAAATTCTGCTAGTTTGCGGGTCGGGCTTGACCAAGGACATTGTCCAGTGAAGTTTTCCATATTTTCTTCGTCGTGTCTAACACATAAATAGAGGCAATAAGAGTTTTCCCGGCAGGCATCTTCCTGTTGGTAGTTTGCGTTTCGTTGCGGTATATCATAAATCCAATTTACTTTATTCGGGAGGCAAATTGCCCACATGTTGCGTTGCCTTCTCCAATCAATTCTAATCCAAAAATTTCTAATTTATCAATACAAATACTGTAAAATTAATGATATTCCAATAACATAAATAGATACAGGACTATATTCAAGTATCAATGAGATAATTGTTTATTATTTTTATTAGGTAATCATTATTATCGGTAATAATTACTGAACACTTTATGCACTCTGGCCAGCAAAACATTACATAACAATTAAACAGGTTATTACTTTAAAATTATCATAAAATTTATATTTACAAGTTTCGGAAACGTAATTAATTAACAAATTTTTTTTTAACTAAGAAACTGGTTTCTATATCCAATTGCATTTATTCGCGATCTTTTTATTTCATCTTATATTCAAATTAATTAATAAATAAATAAAATATGTAAATTTTATTTTTTCACTTAGAATTAAGTTTAATTATAGTACATTATTTATATTGAGTAATTTAATATTGAATTTTGCCGAAATTATTTTAATTTTAAATATAGTCGAATCTGTAATGAGGACCTCCTCCCAACCACGGCTATCTCTATACGGCGGACGATCTTCAAGGACGTTTATTTTTGAAATTCATACAAACTAAGCTACAAGTTACTGCCATTTTTTGTGTTTCCGTCAGTGTTCGTTGTTTAGAGGTTTAACTGTATACGGATTTAGTATCATTTAAAATAGTAATAAATTATATTTATTAAACCAGTTCTGCTATTATTATTATTATTATTTATTAGTGCAATGTGCAGCCTGGCTCCGCATAAGCACTACCAGGTTACAAATACAGATGCAATAACATGTAATTACAGAAGATTTAAAAATTAACACAAAATGAAAGAATAAAACAGTATAACATAAAACGATAAATATAAATAGACAGCGCAATGGTAAAGTACATCTACGATAACACACATGACCAGTAACAATGCTGTAGACACGTAGAAACAGTGCATGATATGCAGTGATTAAGAGTAGGAACGATACATTTATATGCATCAAGAGAATCTGCGATGACGACGATGACAGAGATGAGCTTGTGGTAGACCTGAATGATGATGTTAAGGTGAGAATATAGTTCTTTATTGTTGATCAGATGATGGCAGTCACACGGCCAGTTGAGTTCACTCTTCAAAACTGCACAACGGACAAAATGGTGTTGAGCTATCAGAAATTGAGCCAAGAAGAAGACAGTTTTATAAACGTTTTTTTTATATTCATGTCATGAATTTTATAAACAAAAATTGAATGAAATGGAAAATGAGGCAACGCAACATAAGGTCGATTTGTTAAGTGAGATGCCTTTCGGGAGGACTTTCTAAGTGTCACCTATCAAGGGGTCAATAGGTTCTAAGTCACCTATTTAGGTGTCAGAAACGTGGAAAAACCACGCGACAAGCTCTTGCTCAAACCAAACTCGCGACTAATTTCCTGTTTTCAGAGGTTTTATCCTGGTTCACCGTAAAACTATGCAAATTTTCCTTGTTACATGTCGTATATATTATATTATCATGTAACTTAATTGGCAGAACTTCAACTTCGCGTATTGGATAAAAACAAATCAAATTAGTATAAAATAAAAGATACAGTAGAACCTCGATTATCCGGATTAATTGGGGATGAAGGTAGTCCGGGTAAGGAAAAATTCTGATAATCGAAACAAAGACTTTAATTTGTCTTTTAATGCTAATACAACGCGTTTTCTTTTCGATGACATATCGGTAATATTAAAAGTAAATACTGTATTTAAATCGTGATCAAATTTTCAAGAAACAAACGTTCGTATTAAATTTGGACTACTATTGACCAACGCTAACAGATTACCTATTGTTTAAAAGGCCCTCTGGTGGCGCAAGAAGACGGATTTTATAAAATAAAAAGCAGTTGAAACGGCATTTTTATGAATAAAAATTTTACAAACTATTTACCGTTTTATGACGAGTAAAATTTTTTCTTCGCGTTCGCGACTTTTAAGTAATACATAAACCTTTGAAACGCGAAGCCCTTCGGACCGCGAGGCATAGGCGGTGGCCCACGTTGCCCATACCTTAC